AGCCACTCCTGGCTTGAGAACCTGGTACTTTCCAGGTGTTGTTGGACTTCAGTTAGGACAAAAACGTTGATTTTCCAGACCCTAGTTCAGTGTTTCAACAAGTATCCCAACTAATTTCTTCCAACAGCAACAGGAAGAGCACTCTTGATTTATCACTTCACTGCGCTCAGTGCTCATAAGTGTATTCCCTTACTTTTTCTTCACTCTTTTTGCATGGCCTGAAATTGTTCATAATTAATGTGTGGCGGGGTATTTATGTCAGCTGTCTTTTGGAGCAAAGCTGCTACCCTCCACCATTTTTAATACTGTACATGGTTTCAAACCAAGTGAAGGGGTCTCTTCTCTTTTTTTTCTTTTTATATCTCTTCCTCTTTGACTTTTATTTCATGACTTGGAAATAAGATATTACGGTATATCTAACACCATTATTCATACTCTGTTAACATTTGGAACAATGAAATGTTAGTGTCTTCTCCTCCCCTAACCCAGTTCAGTATTAGCAGGGAATCATTCTGTTTGTAGTATGAATAATTGTTAGTTGTTTATCTCTGCCCCAAAATCTGATAAAAGCTTCAGGAAGCATTCTCTCCCCACTACTGCCAAAAACTAACCTGTTTCTTTCCTTGAACCAAAATATCTATGCTGGCTTAGTAACTTGCAGCACTTCACCTCTAAACATCATGCCATTTGCGTTACACTCAATAAGCAAAGTTTTGGGAACCAATCTTTCAGACTTGAGTTTCAGAACTCAAACTCCAGAAACAGTTTAAAATTAGTAAATGACAAACTGTTTTCTTTTATCACTCCCTTCCCAAGGTCTGTACATTCTGGTTGCAACTACAGTCTGCTAGACCAAAATCTTCCATTCAGGATGCACAGGTAGATTTAGGATATGTGCCCAGTCTTGGATGATATTGCTTGGAAGTGTTGAATTGTTGTGGGCCAAAAAAAATGTAGAGTGTGACAACATCTTTAGCAATTTTCTTTCTTCCTGGATCCTGCAAGAAGTATTATAATGAAAATAGCAAGTGGCATGTTTCTGCTCTAACAGCAACTTTTTTATTTTAACCACAAAGTACAACCTAGGTGTTCTCCTTCATGTTTTACTACCCTGTTAAATATCTTCCCCCCCCCCAAAAAAAATGGTCCTCGCTCCCTCCCCCACCCATTTCCACATAACAAGGTCCCATAAAGTATTTTTATGGAGGAAAATGCTCATCTTTCCTTTGCCAATCTCTGAAGCCATCCTTACACTCCACGGCTCATTACAGCTCTAGCTAAAACACTATATTATTGCAAAATGGCCATCTTGACAAGGATAAAGCCATAACTGGGACAATGCCATATTCAAGAGTTGGAGTCAGAAGTCTCAGAAGTAGGATTGTATGCATTCTGTGATCTTGGAGCATTTGTGGAGAACGTGAAAGGAACTCAGCATGCCAAGAAGATTAAAGAAGATAGGTCAAGATCCAGTGTTGTACATCTGTGTCCAGTGGCAGTGGAATTGAGATTTTCTTCCTTTTCCCATCCTACTGAAGCTCTCTGCAGTGCCAGAAACCACTGACGTATACATATATTTTGCTTCTGTCTGTCAAAGCAAGAAGTCAAGAACTCTACTTCTCAAATGTGCAGTTGTCTTTTGCATTAACTGCTTTCAGCCCACGTTTGTAAGTGAACCACCCAAACCTATATGCCCAATCTTCATGTCTGGTTAACATCAGTGTGGCACCAAGGACATAACTTAAGAAAATAGCTAGAGAGCAGGTAGAGGAAAGCTCACTTGGAATGCAACTTGGTTACAGTCAGGGAGATGTCCAGCAAATATTGCTTTGAGGTCCCACAAGGATTTACCATTTCCTAAATGCTTTCTAACATCTGCATGATACTGCTGGGATAAGCTATACAAAGATTTGGGGTTTGCTATCACCTGTACACAGCTCTGTCTCTCTTTTGCTTGATCTGCAGATGATGCTGTACAGGTCTTTGAGCACTGCCTAGCATCATTAATAGACTGCACAAGGACCAATAGACTGCACAAGGACCAATAAACTGAAACTGAATCCAGATAAGATGCAGATTATGCTATCAGGAGGGTTGTTAGACTGGTTGGAGGAAAATGTACCTGGCTTTGATGAGGTTACACTTCCCCTAAAGGATCAGGTCTGCAGCTTGGGTGTACTCCTGAACTCAGCATGTTCTATGGAGGCTCAAATATTAGCCATGATCAGGAATGTGTTTTATCAACTGTAGTTGGTTGGCCAGTTGTGCCCCTACCTTGATAACAGCAACACTACTTCACACATTGGTAATCTTAAAATTAGATGACTGTAATACTCTCTATGTATGGCTGCTCTTAAAAACAATACAGCAGATCCAATGTGATGGCTAAACTGATTTCTGAGGCTAGTAAATTTGATCATTTATCCCCAATCTTGGCACACCTTCCTTGGCTTCTTGACAGTGTGCTCAATTTAAGGTGCTAATTATGCCCCATAAAGCCCTTAACAGTTTAGGACCTTGATACTTGTGGGAATATCTCTCTCAGAAATCTGTGCTCAATTTAAGGCGCTAATTATGACCCATAAAGCACAACAGTTTAGGACCTTGATACTTGTGGGAATATTTCTCTCAGAAACCAGCTATCCATTTCACTTGTTCCTTTCAGTTGATGTGGCTAAAGGTGGAAACCGACCGAGGGAAGCCAAAAAGGTGACAACAAGGAATCAGACAATTTCAGTGGTGACCCTCAATCTCTAGAATAAGCTACCAACTGAGATACTCCAGGCTCTTTCCCTCCTAGTTGCCTCCAAAAATTATGCCATTTGTATAATTCCATAAGAAGATTTTGGACATAAAGGTAAATAGGTGAATAATAAATAACACTGCAATCATTGGGACTGTACACTTTTCCGGAGATTAAATGAGTACAAAGTGAGCTCCCAGCATCCCTAACTATTGCCCATGCTGGCTGGAACTTCTGAGAAATAAAGTCCAAAGCATTCAGTGGACCACATGTAGAAAATCTTTGCAGTTGGGATCCAATGAATGAGGATTAGGGCTCAGCTAGGGCTTCCCTTCAGGCACAATCAGCAAAACAAATTGTGCAAAATGAGTAACTGGGTATGCGAGGTTGTATAATGTATCTAACATGCACCAGTTTTATGTTGGAATTCAATCTCTAAAATATGCAAGGTTGTATAATATATCTAACATGCACCAGTTTTATGTTGGAACAGTAATTTTTCTGGTTGTGAGATCTGTGTTAGCTTAGTATGGAAGTCGAATTCTCGGTACTGTAGGTAGTTCATTTACAGTCTATACCGGCCTATACATAGCTACCCAGGAGCATCAGAGAAGGGTCTGTGGGGAGATGATGGTGAAATCTTAATAATCCTTAAGGGAAGAAAGTGGGAATGATTGTATGTGTGGCTGGCTGTGAGGACAGCTCACCTAAGTTTTACTGGTAGCAATGAGACAAAACTATTGGAGAGAGACTACACTGAGCTTGCGGGTTGTGCTTTTGTGAGATGTTCTTGGGGCAGGTACTAGAAATAGAAGCTCAGCTTCTTCTTTTTTTTCAGATTATGCTGGCCAGCCATTCCTGAGCTTCAGAGTTACGCTCCACAGATACACTTTCCCCTATGAACCAACCTGCACCTCATATTTGTTTTCTTTCAGTTCCTTTCTTTGCGTATTTGGTGTTTCAGAATGTTTGTCTGTATTTGTTCTTCTGTCTGCCACTGCTGTGAGAGCAGGGGCTGCAAGGCCGTCATCCTCCTGTAAAGTCTCTTGATTGTTTATATTTAATTTTAGCTCCTTTGGGGCACTTTTGATGTCTTTGTGCTTCCCCCAGTTCTTGTTTCAGTACGTTTATGTCTTGTCTTTCTCCTGGATGACGGTCCTTTCTGCCCTTCACTCCCCACACCAAATATACCCATTGACCCTTTTGCACCCAGAACTCTTCTGAAAATCACTTTGGAATCAAAAGTGATTAGAGCAGATCTCTACCTCCCCATTTCTCACCTGCCTCTGTCATACTTCCATGAAGGCCAGACTCCTTGTTAAAGGTCTAAAATTTGTGAAACCTTCTTCAAAGGCTATTTAATAGGAAAGAGGAAACAGAGCTTGGAAGTAATTTGTTATAAAAATTGAATTACTTACAATTATTACCTCCTACACAGTAAGTTAAGTTGCTAGCAAGATGTAACGAAGGATGACATTTCATTTGTAGTGTAACTGCAACTTTTAAATCATTTTTATAGTTACTATGTGTATCCTCATAATAAATGATAGAGGACTTTCACTTAATTTGAGAGCTGTATTTCACACTGCTAGATTCAAATAGTGTTTTAGAAGATGCTAAAAGCAATTTAGAAAGACTGTCCCTGTTTCTGGAAAGTAATTTAGTGATCAAAATCCTGTTCTGCAGCTCTCCCTGCATGAAGGGAATAATGTCAGTGGCAGTGGCAGTGTCACTGATTAGACAGGTCCATGTGGTACATAAGACAAAATTGTGTGATTCCAAAATTGAAAAAGGAGGTCTTTGATCAGACTGAGCATGGCATCAGAGCTGCCAAACAAGATTTTTCCCCCTAACTAACTTCTGAGGTTTAAAACCATCATGCTTTAAAACCATCGTGGTAACTAATTACTTTTAAAACAACCTTTCAAGCTCTAAACAAACTTGTTAGCAAAAGTTTTATTCCCTTGGGAAGAGCAGTTGGTCATTACCAAAGGGAAATTCCTTTGGGGTTTATGCATGAAGAGGGGCTAGGTAAGAAGACTGTTCCCATCCTATCTTCAAAGGATTGCCACCTACTGATGAGGACTGATCAGTACCTCAAATGAACCCATAACTGGTTTCTTCCTCCTGCCCCATTAAAAAACTCCCCCCTCCCTCATTCATCTGGCATCCCTGGTCCTTTTTCTCCCTGTGGGGTAAATAGAAAAGTACCCTGACTCCTTCTCTGCTTTTCTTCCCTCCTCCCAAAACTGCGTAGATCCCGAGAGGACTAGCGCCCACATGATCTCAGCAGATGATGCAGAATATCCAAGGGAATACCGGACCCTGGGCAATGGCACACGCCGCTTTTCCAACGTAGGGCTGGTGCACACTTCAGAACGCCGGCACACTGTTATTGCTGCCCAGAGCCTGGAAGCCCTCACGGGGCTCCAGAAATCTGAGATGGAACGGAAGCGGGATGCCTTCATGGACCACTTGAAAAGCAAGTACCCCCAGCATGCCTTGGCGATCCGAGGACAGCAAGAAAGGATCCGGGATCAGGTAAGAGCAGTCAACTTTCTCTGTTCAATAATCATAATGACCTCTAGGCTTAACACATGAGGCAGCCTTTCCTTCCAAGTCCATTTAGTCTGGTCTGTGTCCATATTTTCCTCTGCAGCAAGGTAAGGCTTGTATTGCAGCTTGAGGATTGGGGATTGAATTTGGTTGTAAATTTGTTATCAGGGACTACATTCAAGTGGTGGACAGACTCAAAGGCAAAAGGTGGAAGTAAATAAGGCAACATATTTTAGTTCAGAGGTCTTACCCTTTTAGAGTAGCGGGGTGGGGCTGGGACAGACAGAAGCTGGGAAGCCAACATATGAGGGTGTGAGTGGGAACAAGGTGTGGTCATAAGACTAAATTGAAATATTAGGGAGCAGGATTCAGCCTCAGCACTTGAGGTTTCTTATCCCTTCTCTTGTGCTAAACATGGACGTTCATCCAAGTGCTTTCTACTGAATGCAGCACCTTATCAGGAGAAACTTTTCTCATAAAACTGAAATTGGAATTTGGAGGTATTCAAGATTCTATTGAATGATCCAGATTCTCCTTCTCTTAGAGGCGTGTCACTATATTGCAGATTAGTTTTCTTCAGGTCTGTTCACAAATTTTTACTGAGCAGTGTTAGGGATGACAAATTATATTTTTGTGTGAAAGAGCTAGGGATATACAGTGACTGCTGATGCCTGTTTGGAGTTGGGGAAAAGGGAGGTGTCAGAAGAAGCAGAACCAACAGCATCTACTTGGCTACCCAAGGTCCTTCTCCCTTACGTGTCTAAAGTACAACTTGTATCACCACCCTGATATTAGAGGAGTGCTGGAATTTGGAGGAGAGTGTCTCGGCTTCTCAAAAAATAAGACCATCCCTGGGATATCTAAGAAAGAGTGGTCTAGTATCCTTTTGGAATAATCATTCTGTGAAAGAAGCTATATAGAGGCATAATCTAGTTTTAAACATTTATTATGCAAAAACACCAGGCACAGGAAATCAAAACACATTGACTGGTATTACATAACAGATAAAAGTTTTAACCAAAAACCTAAGTATTTGTTAAATTACATATTTTTGAATTTCAGGAAGCAAATTAGCAACTATTCGCAATTGTTTTAAATTGGTCACCAAAGATTTTGGAATGACTCCAGTTGGTGAAATTTGTGTAGAGCAAAGGATGGCTGGTTCTTGTTTCTTCCTCACATTATTGTTGAGGAAGCGCTACTCCTTTTTGTTGCTATTCAAGATTGCAATCTTTTTCTGTTTCCATCGTTAAGTTGGTGGCTGAAAACAGAGGTCAGAAAAATTATTTGGGGAATCCTTAGAGTTGTCATCCAAATCTGTAAGATTTCCAAGCTGTGAAAGTATGGTGACCTTTATTTCTTTATAGTGATTAGGAAACATCCTGCTTTTAAACAAGAAACTCTTGAGATTTAGAGATTTGTTAAAAAAAGAGACTTAAGTATGAAATCATGGAAATAATTAGAAGAACAAGGTATAATACTTGATTGGTGGACAAAAACACAAATAGATTCAAGATATACAAGAGATAAAACAGTAGGCTTTTGTAAGGAACAAACACCATTAGATAAGGTACGAATGTAAAGGAAAAACTGATCAAAATGTTGTATAATTATCTACTAGAATTAAAAATGCAAGATGAAATAGTTAAAAAATGTATGATAAAATGGGCCCAAAATGTGGGTCACAATATTAACTTAAAGTCATGGTCACAAATATGGCAAGACAATACAGTGGTGCCCCGCACAGCGAGGTTAATCCGTTCCGGATTAACCTTCGCTGTGGGAAACATCGCTGTGCGGGAGAGAAAAAGCCATAGAAACGCATTGAACTTTGTTCAATGCGTTCCTATGGCTTTCAAACTCACCGTTCAGCGAAGTTCCTCCATAGGCGGCAGCCATTTTCGCGCCCTCCCCTCGCAGAACGAGGGCGCCAAAATGGCTGCCATCAACTGTTCAGCGGGTTAAAAATGGCCGCCGGAACAGCCGAAATAAATCTATTTCGCTCATGCACCATGTGCCCAGGAATTAATAAATTGATGTAGATAAAGCTAATTTTTTTTAACTACAGTTCTTATAGCCAGTGCAACTGTGCCCTTACTCAAAAAGTACAGAGAAAGAGACCATACTGAAACCAGCAACTTTGACGCAATCTGGTTTCTCTTTATTTCTTCAACTTTTCTAGAGCTTCAGCAACACAGGGACATTTGTGGTCTAATAACTAACATATTTAGTTAATTCTGAGATCTTAGAAATATTTGATACTATGCTACTTTTGAGTTTTATTTCACTTCACTTTCACCCCTCTTTTTTATGACTGACAATGAAAAGCAGTACACAATATGTACTGTAAAGGTTTGTATATACATACGAGTGTTAAATTTGTAATGGGCAACCAACTTGTAAGTTGGGTGTGATTACTGGCTATCTGTGTTTGTACTTAATAAAATCTTTAAATGAAAATACTAAAGAACAACGGGTTCTTCCTATTTCCTGGAGAAAATAGCTGTTCAGAGTACTAATTGGCCGTCCCTTGTGACACTCACAAGCTATCATCTTCCCACTAGATGGGCAGAGTGCAGATTGGTTGGCCTTTCCAACAATCACAAAGCCATTATTTTCTTGCCTCCCCATTTGGCTGTTTAGAGTGTTAACTGGCTGGCCTTTGTGACAATCACAAAGGCTCTTCCACTCTGGGCCCGAGCCCACCCCAAAGAATATGCTGCACACATTTTCTCTTGCTTAAAATACAGCGGCTTTTAAAAAGTGAATTAAATAAAAAAATTTAATGAACCTATAGGATCTGGAACCTTTGGAAAGGGCTAGAAAATGACACAAGTGAGAGATCTTTGAAAATTTATACCACAACCAGAGATAGGCACCTAAAGCAGTACAGTGGACCCTTGACTTACAGACGGCTTGACTTACAGACTTTTTGAGTTACAGACTTCTCTGGCCGCAAAATTTAGGTTTGACTTGCAGACTGAGATTTGACTTACAGACCAGAAAAAAACCAAAATGGAACAAAAACGGACTGTTACGCGATTAATCAGTTTTCAATGCACTGTAGGTCAATGGAGACTTGACTTACAGACTTTTTGACTTGAGAACCGCCTTCCAATACGGATTAAGTTCTCAAGTCAAGACCCCACTGTACTTGGCAGCAGTGTCAAATTGTGCGAAGGCTGGGCCTCAGAAATGATACTTTTCAAGCAATAACTCCCAGAATTCCCCAGTAGGAACCATGCTGGTTGGGGGGGGGGGGGTCCTGGGAAACTATGTCCAAAAAAGGGGCATTTTTCTAGGTTCTGGGAGAAGCAGAGCTTGTTTTACACCAACCACCCATTTTAAAAAACACACCCACACCAAATAAACCTTTGCACTGACTAATGGGGAGAGGACATAAAAGAAAGAAAAACAAAAAGCGAACAACTGACTATTGAAGATAATTAGACTAGTGATGTGTAAACGTTTATTTCTATCCTTTCTGCACTACCCCTTAGGTGCCAAGCACATGGCTTGTGCAACTGCCTTTTAAAGATGCTGACAGGCACTGCAGGGTGTAGCATGCTTGGTGGAACCTGAAACCTGCAGAGCAGTAGACATTTAATAAATGCCTGGTTTAATGAAGAGTGATGTGAGGAAAGAAGAATATAGAAATGGCTGTGTTGCATTAAACCAAAGCTCTGTCTAGTCCAGCATTCAGTCAGACCGGCTGCCCCTGTGGGAAGCCCATAAGCAACAACCTTTTTGTGCTTGTGTTCTCTGCAACTGGAATTCAGAAATAGTATACTGGAGGTAACAGAGAGCCACCAAGACAAGCATCTGCAGATACTGTAGCTTTGTTCTCTATGAATTTCTGTAATCTCCTTTCAAAACCATCCATGGACATGGCCGTCACTACATCCTGCAGTATCAAATAATACTGTGAAGTATACGGGCAAAGAAGACAGGCTGGAAACAGGAAGAATATGAGGCCTGGTCCTTGGAGGTGCACATATGAGGTTGTAGTAGTGAAACAGAAGCTTACGGTTTTGGAGCTGAATTATGATAGACTTTGTTGATCCATAGCTAGCTGTAAGTAGGTAGCTGTCTGCCGATTTTTCTTTCTTTCTGACCACTTCTGCAACATTTAAAAACATGTCTTCAGTCAGTCAGTCACTCTATTTGTATATCACCCTTCCATATGCTCAAAGCAAATTACAACAGAGCAGGACAGAATATTAACAGTACATTCTTATCGAAGAAAAATAGAATAGTTTTATAGTAACAAACAACTTAATATCGTAACATACAAAGAAAGCATCAGTAGCAAACAAGTTAATGTTATTACTAAGTAAAGGGGGGAAAGGTATTATTCTGTATCTATAGTCTCATTTACGGTATATTTCTACAGTACATTAGCTACGGTTAGTACATGGGGGCAACTATCTTTTTTCAGTTGCTGGGATCCATGCTACTGTATATGTGGCAATAGCGCAACATTAAAGAGATTTTAAAACTGACCAGTACAATATCTATTATTTCTTTAATGTTTTTTTTTGGGGGGGGGAATTTAAAAAAGCCCAAGGGACCGTGCAGCCATATTGTAAAATTGTAAGTATTCCAGCAAGGTGACCTAAACTCTCCCACTGTCTGAAGTAGGAGGTGAAATGCTGTTCGCCACATCGTAACAATGGTGCAAATACTTCACTCACTGAAACCCCCACATTGCCAAAGGTTGAAAGTAGCCAACACACAGCTATCCAGTTACAGTATTTAACTTGGGACCTCAGGAATATCCATATGGAACATTTATACTCCTGGCTCTTAACCCTATCAGATATATTTTAGAATAAACAAATAAATACATTTCAATTTTATTTATAAGGTTCTTAATTCCCAGTCTGAGGCCTGGAATATGTAATGAAAGTAGCTTTATTGGGGGAACGTGCCTTTATAATTTAAGAAATAAATGTCCCTGCATCAGAGTTTATTGTGAACCCAGA